TTAAATTCCCACGGTGCGGAACGCAGAATATACGTTTTTACTATGATTGGAAAAAGCAACGTTGATGTTACACAACTAATTTTACACACGGTGTGAAACACATAAAAAAATTATTTTACAATACTTGATCAGACTATGTTATGATTATAATCCAACATAATTTTTTATTATAAAAAAATGGTGTTGGATTATAATAATAACATGTACTAGCTGACTAATCAAGTATAGTATAATAATTTTTTTGTGTGTGTAAAATCAGTTGTGTAACATCAACGTTTCCTCCTGTTGCTGTTAGCGGAACCCGGTTTTAGTTGCAATAATGGGGTTAAGCAGACCCCAGCCAATAAGCTACAGCTTATCGTATGATTGAGCTGTATCTTTGAGCTGCTTTAACTATAGCTAGGAGTTGCAGCTAGCTATGGCTCAGCATCAGTTGCGATTTTTTATTAGCTAATATTTATTGCTACTGCGATACTATATCGAAAAGCATTCGCTTTACACAACATTCGATATTTAGACTATGCCGGCAGATGATTTATGCCGGAGGTGATATTTTATTGAATTTAAGGTTAGAAGAATACATGATAGAAAGCGAGCAATTGACCGAGTTGGTCAGAACGCATAGACATCCCGCGGCAGAAGCAATCGTATTTGCACTGGAAGTCTCTGTAGGATTTCCTGTTGGGTTGGATGGGTATAGTGTTTCGATTCGGATTAAAAACTCGGTTGATCTGGAACCGAAACCGACTGAATCTGAAATTTCGGTTTGAATACGGAGCCAATCCGAAGTAATTAATGGCCAAATACTTTAACATGGAATTTATACGTAACCAATCCGTCGGATCCGGATTATTTGGAACACTGGATGGATAGCGAGAATTTCGTCTTTTCAGCGCCGGAAGATCTGTACTTACCCGTTTCTTGATATCTGATTCTTTGCGCCAAGCATGTCCTGCTCTCATTGTTACTTCCTTTTATTTTTATTTTCCCACGCCTGAATTCCTGCTTCTGCAGTGGTCTTGTGATCTGATTTGAATGACCCCCGTGATGGTGTTGTGTGGCTCTCTTCTTTTCGATCACTTTGCACGATATTATCTACAACAGCTTGAGCCATGGTTCAAGACATGCTTTAGTACTCAAACTGCGGCTTTTATGATTAAAGAGTAGAACCAAGCCATACAAGCCATTAACATAACGATAATATATAAATGCTATGTGCCGTTTATTGATTTCTGCCAATTCGAAATCGAAATCTAAATCGAAATTGAACTTTCATCGGTCAATGAATGATCTACATACAGTACGTACGTACATCACTTATTTATACAATAAATCACATTAATAAATCAGCAAAAAAGAAAAAAAGCATTTGCTGTTTACTTTTTAAGCATCGTTAAGTATCATTAGAACTTTTTTCTTATTTAATAATTATGATAACATAAATCTTCACTTCTTTGGTTCATTAATCTCTTAAACAACATTAGAGTATATATTAGTCAAAAAAAACCCCAATGAGAATATTTGAAAAGCCGTTATTCTAAAAGTTAAAAACTAGTAATTTATCTGAAGAATTTTCGATTATTAGAGAAGATTAACATATAATGCTAACGATGATTTAATTTATGGAACTAAAACAGTGTTTGTTGCTATTGCAGAAGAACTGCTGCTGCATTTAGAAGAATTAATTCTTTATTTTAACGTGATTTAAAAGCGGTTTACTAATTATATTAAAAATGATAATTTTCGAATAAGGCACATTTAGCTTTCATTTCATGTAATAACTTTTTATAATAATAAATTTATATATATATATATATATTTATTAATCGATAAAAAACTCATACTGTTTCAAACTACAAACGTTTACAAATAACACATGTCGATTCCGAATCGACAGGGAATCTATAATGACACAAAATCTCTTACGAACGAGCAAATAATCAATTATGTACATAAGTCGAACAACATGGTTAATTTATAAAAATAGAACAAATAAATACCTGGGTTGATAATTTTGACTGTATCAGACTTATAGTCACAGGCCAAAATAAACTAGGCTAAAGTGAAAATTTGGATCTCCTTTAAAATATCTAAAACATTGAGATAAGAGATTGTCTAATGAAAATAGTCTTCCGATATAATTACTGATTGTCAAAATGATATAGTTAATGTTATTGATCAATCAGTAAGGGAAGTGTCATTTATCATCTGATTTTTTGTAAATATTAAACTTTCCCCCTCCCTCAAATGATTACGATTATGTATAAAAATATACATGTGATCTATTAGCTTGGCACCCACCCCCTTGCTAAAAAAATCAGATGATAAATGACACTTCCCTAAAGTTCACAACTATTTAAATACCAGAATCCAATAACTATATATATTTATAATTCAATATTTATAAATCATGATTAATAATAATTTTTATATTTGATACTAAAAAAGTTTCACTAGTAAACTTTTTAAGTTTTTAGGAAAGCATTTTTGATTCTAATAGTAGAATTATTAAAATTGACCTGGCAAATCATGAGAAAAACTACAGTAAACCATTCATAAATGCACACTCTTGAAACTAAACTTTAATAATATGTATTTATAAAGATTATGCATATATTTGACCAGAGGTTGAGCATGCATCTATAGAAGTTTCACTGTGTTTCATTTTGTAAATCTATTGTGCTTATTGCAAATTATATGATTTGGTTGGCAATTTGTGGTCACTCTGCAAAGTTGTTATTATAAAAACTTTAAATTTTGCTCAAATTTTATAAAATTTTTAAAATATGTATAATTTTATTGAATAAATATTAATTTACATAGCAAAAACTAACTTTTATATATAGCAATATATAAAACTACCTTTTGTCACTAATTTATTAATAGAAATAATCTGCATACCCTCTACCCATAATAATACCAAAACCGATAATAATTAATAATGATAATAATCACCACAATCACAATGATGGCACAGCAAAACTTATACACATTATAGTTTGGTGTATAAGTATTCGTAATTACAAGATGTGAAGTTGTTTGAGGAGGTGGAGGTTGTGGAGGTTGTGTATATTCGACTGTTCGCATACTAACTCTTGTTGCTACACCTTCTGGATACTGCACTTGTTGGTAATGCAATTCTGCTGCTCCATTTTCATACTCTCCTCGAATGTAACCTTCTTCAACACTTGTGTTGTAGTAACCGTCATATTGATTTGACACCACCATAACTTGAATATTTTAAAAAACCGCGACAAGTGGAAATAATATGGATAAATAACAAACGTGATCAAATTTGTGCAAAAATTTAGTATTAGAAGTAAGTTAAATTTTTTTTTGAAATTGAATATTTTTATTTGAATTGCTGAATACTGATCGCTTAGCTAATACAATAGTGTGTGTTTAGAATCTATGTGAATTTTAGTGACTTATAAATATTAATTTTTTTTCAAAAAAAAAAGTAAATAGTGTCGATATTACGCACACGTACCAAGATATAGGCTATATTTATAATAGAATATATTCTGAGTTTATACTCCGATAATGCATATATAAATTATTATGATATATAATATTACTAAATAAATTTTAAAGCTAAATTTGATCGATATTCTTCTTTCCATTTTCATTGATAAGTTTTGAAAGGGTGAAGAGGATCTCGTTTCAGCTCTTAGTTACGCGAAACTTAAGAATTTAATGAAAAATCAATAACTATCTTGATATAATTATTGAATAATGTTTTATTATTCGATCGTTCACTGTGTATCATGTTGCAAAGAATTTTATATTATATCATTAGTACTGTAGTATCATAACATGGATATATTTGTTAATTTATATAAACAGTGTTAGAATTTTCTTTATTTCTTTTCAATTTCCTAATCTTAACATTTGGAGTCTTTGCCTTGAAAATCACCCTCCGACATTTCTGATCGGGTTAATTCGGACAAAAACAAATCCGTATAT